CCGCGGGCGGTCCGTGGAGGCCGGCGGGGTCCCCAGCAGCCCCGGCTCGAGGTGTCCGCCCAGCGCTGGCTAAGTGCAGGAGGGGAGGTTGCTGCTGTGTCGGTGGTGTCTCCCCTCAGGGGAAGGACACAGCTCCAGGTGGATATGAAAGATCTCGGTGTCTTGGCCGAGCAAGGCCGCTACCCCAAAGCACTGTGTGCGCCCTTTGTCTGGTGGCTGCGGCACCGTCCAGAGTGACGGGCTGGAGCAGCGCTCCGGGACCCCTGTCTCTCCGTAAGCCTGGGTCCCCTGGCGAGCGGGCACGTCGCGAGGACGCTCTGAACAAACCTCCGGGGAGGTCAGCCCTGCGTGCCGCTCTGCTCAGCAGCGATCGCAAGCGTCTTGGGAAGCGCAGAGCTGCTGCCTCTCAGCGTGGTTTGTGCGTTTGTCTTTCAGCTCCTGGGTCAAGCTGCTAGAAACATGGTGATGCAAGAAGATGCCATCCTGCACTCGGAAGATGTAAGCTCTGTCCATCTGCTAGAGCAATAGCGCTTTTAGCGGGAAGGGGGAGAGGAGAGTTATAGAACTGGGCTACAGACATGTGAGTGGAGCCCTGAAATGAAATACGTGGTTTCACGTAGCAGGGCTGACGGCCAGGATAATTTACTGCTTCTTCAAACACATGTAGACCTCTGGCCTTCCTGCAGCACAAGTCAGCCCATAAGCTGTGCCCTCTCTTAACAAAAAGCAAGAAGGGTTGTAGGGTGAAAAAGTACTTACTGTCTGTGCCCCTCATTGGGAAGGGAGAGGTGAGCATGGCACCCATGACAGCTACTGGTGGAGGTGTTTCTGTGGTAGTACAGTGATACAGTGATGAACGTGCTATAGGAGCTCCCCAGGGCAGAGGGTTTTTTGTTAAGTGGTTCATGGCAACTCTCTGAGATTATGACAGGGAACTGTTACTATAAACCGTTTTGGTACTGTCAGGACAGCAGAAGCTCTGGAAGCTTCTATCATTTTGAGACAGCTTGCTCTGTTATTCTCTTGAGATCTCTTGTCGGAGACATTCATTCTTTGTCTTGTTCTCCACAGAGTCTAAGGAAAATGGCCATAATAACCACTCATCTACAGTACCAGTAAGTAGGGGACATAATGTACTCTGTGGTGTGCTGAGCCGGTGCCTTGACCCCTTTTCCCCCCGCTTCTTTAAGACCTTGTGTAGTGGAGAGTTTGCATGGAGCCTGCTCAGACTGATCCCTTTGGACCAGGTCCCCAAAACTGGGCAGAGCCCGGAGCTGGGATCCTCCATTCCTCTGGGAAGCAGCAGTCTCTGACTGGGAGCTGAGTTTTTTGCCTCCTCTCTGCTATGCATTGGGTCTCCTGTGAAAGTGTGTAATACCTCCAGGGCTGAGGGAGAAGCCAGTGCTGCTGCTGTCCGCTCTGGACTTAATCCAAAAGCACACAAAAGTTTTGGCCTCCTGAGCCCTTGATCAAGTCCCTTTTGATCAACATAACATGAACCCTGAGGTTTTCTGTTTCTTCTTACGCTCCTTTCTCTCCTTTTCTCATTTAGGCAGGAAGCAATTCAGAAGAAGTGAGTACCCAGCTGAGGAACTGTGAGGAAAACCTGGGAGACAGTGTGTAGGGGCTGATGGGAAAGGGAAGAGTGGTGTGTTGGGGTGGGGGAGAATGCAGCTAAAGAGTTTTTGCAGCTGTCTTTGAAGATTCTGGCACAGCTGGATAGTGTTTTGCTACTGCAAAGATCAGTACTTTGAAGAGATGAGAGTTTGGGTGAAGTGATGATTTATACTAAAACTTCCATTTGTTTCATTAACATGATAGAGCCTGTGATGTGGCTTGATAGGTGGTGAGAATGGAGTAGAGCAGAGCTGTCTGCTTATGGGGGCACAAAGTAAGATTTGCCTCGTGCTTGTGAGGCAATGTGGAGGTGGGTTGGGGGACCCCAGGGTTTCCCTTTTCTGTCCTGTCAGTGCTAGAGCTGTTCTGGTTCCTTGGGTGCAGGCAGCATAGGGCAGATCGGGGGAGCAAATCTCACTGTGAACCTCTTCTTTGGTCCCCAGTGTCGAGCAATCGTCAAACCTACAGGACCAGCTGAATCACTTGCTAAAATGAAGCACAGCCAAAATCACAAGGACGTCTTGACCGCTGCCGAGGGCAGCCAGCGATCTTTTCCCCTCCTGAGTCAGCTATTCCGTCCTCTGGCTGGATGGGGCTGAATGTCAGCTGGGATGTATGCAGAGTGTGTTTCTGAGCGTTTGTGCCCCTCTCATGTGTTCCCATCCACATCTCTAGAACGCGTGCCTGCTTGCCTGCATCTAATCAAAACAGACTTAGCGGGAACTCTCCTTCCCCCAACAATTCCTCGGGCTCGTTTACTCTCTTTATGTAGCGTGAAGTGCTCGATCCACACCAGCACCCCAGGCACCCACGTCGTTCAGCTAGCGGATCACTGGCCGTATGTCTGAAATGGTTGGCCAGCTCAGAATCCAGCATGTAATACTCCTTCTGTCCAAGGTCTTATGTCTTCCATGACCATAATAGGATGATTTTCCTTCCTGTCTCTAACCTCTGCTCAGTTAGGAGCTGTCTCCTGTGAGAGGATGGAAGCGAGGTCGTTATGTCTGCCCAGGACTAGGAATCATAGAGCCAGGTTTTTCAGATGCGTTTGTTCCCCCCACACTCCTTCCCCCTTCTGCCCCCCCCCAAAATGCAGAATATAGAGCTGTGGGTTTTAAATACAGGTGCCTGCAGTTTGACACTGGTCCTTACTGGGGCACAGAGATGATCCGTGCAATTTATTTAGGGCATGTTAGTCAGTGGAAGCTGTAAGTGGGAGCTCTGGTGGGTGAGAGGCGCTTCAGCGCTGGCTGAGGTGCCAGTCCCAGGGCAGAATTTTTAAAAGCAGGAATCTGGGCACGCACCCTCTGTCAGTGGTGCAGCTGGATACTGTTTGACGAGCATCCTGCTCTGAGGTTATCTTGTTTTCCACAAAGCCAGGGTTTGGAACGTCCTCCCCTTGCCAGCCCATCTGCACTGCCTTTGGCCTTCAACTGCATTCCTATTCCTGGGTTGCTGCTCCAGCTCTCGATTGAGCAGCCTTGGATGTGTTCTGTGTTTGTATGGGACCGGGAAGGTATCCAAAGGCACAGCTGGGAAGCGGGTAGTGGGGGGAAAAAAGGCAAAAACAAACAAAAAAAAACCTGGAAGCCTATATATTCACTTCTGAACTGTTGTGTGTATGAGGATTAGCAGCTGGGCTCCTGTTCACTTCCCAGGGAGCAAGATTGGGTCCAGGCTATAAATATTGTGTCTGGTTTTTGTAAGTCACTTATCTGGAGCACTTGGAGCACACTGGAAGCACTTCACTGCCTGAGTGTGCTTTTCATCAGCTGATATGACAAGGCAGATGGATAGCGGGAGATCAGCCTGCCACGTTCCTGTTGTAGATCTGCAGCGAAGTGCTGCAAGGTTTCTGTTCCCACATGGCAGAGCGTTTTCTAGGGCTAGTTTTACTCTGGTTGCTATCCCTTCCACTGCTGCTGCCTCTTTGAGCCTCACCTTGTGGCATCCCATCTCCTGTGTCCGCATGAAGGTACCACTATTGGCCCAGGCTAATCTAATCAACCCAGCAGTACTGTTAGCTTATCCTCTGTGCTGTGCCTGTGCTCTAACATGGACATGCCAGAGGAGGGTGTAAAAAAAAAAAAAAAAAAAAAAAAAAAAGCTAAAATGATTTGCTTTGCTATGATAAAAGGTTTGGATTTCTGGGGGTTTTTTTTCTTTCTTTCTTTTTTTTTCAAAGCCCCTAATCCTTTTCTCTCCTGTGCCTGGTTACGTTGCGGCAGAGAGCAGGGTCTGTACCCTGTGCTCGGCCTGGGCTTCCCTGGGGTAACATGCAGGGGCCCTGAAGGACAGGGTAGTGGGGGGGTATTTGCACCTATGGGGCTCCTGATGCCTGGCCTCGCTGTGCTGTGTGGCAGCAGCATTTTGGGAGAGGAGATTTCCTCTGAGCTCCTGCAGAAGCCGCAGCCTGCTTGGTGGCGATAGATGAGCTGCCCTGACGGCCACCAAACCACCGCAGTGTCCTGCTGGATTGCTGGTGCTGGCCTTCGCTGCGCCTCCTTTGGCAGCCTGCTTGGGAGAGCAGGGCTCAGCCGCCAGCGTGCCCCATCCTGCCTTTGGCTCTGGGGGCTTCCCTGTGGCCGCAGTGTCCTCCCTGCAGGTGACTTGGCTCCTCTGCGAGATCCCATGCTCTGCAGGGGCCGGAGAAGCCCCGGCATGGGGTTTGAACTCACATCCCTCTGCGTTTGGGGTGAGCACAGAGAGGGTGGGAGGCCAGGGCTGTGCCATGCGGGTGCGGAGCTGCCTGGGTGGGTGGGGAGACGGCAGGGTGGATCGGGGAGGATCGCTGCTGGCAGACGTCATGGGGGCAGCCGGTGGCTGTGGGGGCAAGCAAACACCCCGGGTGCAGAC